GCCTTTCTGGCATCGGTGCCTCAGGGAGTTTCTGGTTCAGAGGGCTTAGGAGATGCACGTGCTCCTTCATTAATTAAAAAGAAACGCACACAAAACACGCACACGGCTAGTTTAATAGGTAGGTATTATTTACCTTATTGTGTTTACAGTTTGGGTTGCTTTTAAATTAAAAAGAAAAATTTCCCAGCTTTATTGAGATGTAATTGACAAGAAATTGTATATACATAAGGTGTACAGTGATACTTTGATATACATATACATTGTGAAATTTTCACCGCAATCCAACTATTAATAATTAATGAATCCATTTCCTTACATACTTACCTTTTTCTTTTGTGTTGGGAACACTTAAGATCTACTCTGTTAGGAGATTTCAAGTCTACAATACAGTGCTGTTATCTCTAGTCACATTGCTCTATATCAGTTCTCCACAACCTATTCATCTTAAATAACTGCAACTTCGTGTCCCCTGATGAGTATCTCCCCACTTCCTCCTTCTCCCAGCCCCTGGCAACCACCATTCTACTGCCTGCTTCTAGGAGTGTGTTGTTTTATTCCACATATAAATGAGATCATGCAGTCTTCATCTTTATCTGGCTTATTTCACTTAGCATGATGTCTTCCAGGTTCATCCATGTTGTTGCAAAAGGCAGAATTTCCTTTTTTAAGGGTGAATTATATAATACATTATATATATATAAATACATAATATAATTTTAATATTATATTTATATATATATTTATATATATATTTATATATAATATATATATATATAAATAAATAATATATATATATATATATATATATATATATATATATATATATATATATATTGCCTTACAGCTTCATCCTTGACCACCCCCCACACCAACCCCTGACCTAATGAGGTCATGAGGAAATGTCTCAGAACGCTGAGACCCAGTGGAATGATATTGTTAAAGCTTCCTCATGGAAGTGTCTCAGAACGCTGAGACCCCACGGAATGATGCTGGTTATCTCCCTTATTTTCATGGCCGCGGCACAGCTGCACCATCCTGGGGGTTGTGTGTGTGGGACTGTGAAGACACAGCAGGTGTAGGAATACAGTGCTGCTGGTGGATGGAGAGCAGCCATAAGGCACTTACCACGCGGACTTCAGAAAAAACAAGTTTCGCTTCTTTGAAGTTTCTTAATAAAAGCTCCGCGTTGGCCCGATTAGGAGCTCAGTTCCAGAGAGAGACGGCAGCCCCCTGGCCTCGCTTTAACTCTATAACTGACTCTTGTGTTTCTTTAACCCGGCGCCGCCCCTCTCACACCCCGCCATCCTTGCTGTGCGGGATGAACTTTCTTCCTCCATTTATGGACATTTAGGTTGTTTCCATATCTAAGTCAATGTGAATAATGCTGCAGTGAACCAATGAACACGGGGGTGCAAATCTGTTTGAGATAATTATTATGTTTCCTTTGGATGAATTCCCAGAAGTAGGATTGCTTGATCATGTGGTAGTTTTATATTTTAATTTTTTGAGGCACCTCCATACTGTTTTCCATAGTGGCTACACCAATTTATAATCCCACCAACAGTGCACAGGGTTCCCTTTCTCCACATTTTCTCTGACACTTATTTCTTAACTTTTTGATAATGGCCATTCTAATAGGTGTGAGGTAGTATCTCATTGTGGTTTTCATTTGCATTTCTCTGATGATTAGTGATGTTGAGCATCTTTTCATGCATCTATTTTAGTCCTTTGATCAGTTTTTAATTGGGGTTTTATTTTGTTTTTCGCTACTGAGTTGTGTGAGTTCCGTATAAAGTGTGGACGTTAACCCCCGCCCAGGGGTGTCTGCAGCGGTGGAGTGGCTGCCGGGAGCTCCCGTTCTCCTGTTTCCTCTGCATGGAGAAGTTGGGGCCCAGGCGCTTCTCGGTGCTGAGTGGTGGCAGTCTGAAAGATGGGGTGTCACAGGTAAACCACTTCCCGTACTTTTCTGCGTGGCCATCCTCGGGTTTTGCCCTCCACTGGGTTGTTGCAGCTCCTTAACTCTACCCCAGAGCTCTCCCAGAGCCATGTTCCTCCATGAGTAGTTGCTAAGTCATAGTTTTTGTGTGGGGTGCGAGGGCTGAGACCACTTAGTCCTCCACCTCACTGATGTCCTCCTCCTCAGATGAGCTCATGGAGAAAATGGGGTGGATCTTTGCTCCAGAAAATTTGCTTCCAGGTTTGCAGGAAATTTTTTTTTTAATTAAAAAAATTTTTCCCCCCCATTTATGCCTCTGGTGCTATGAGGGTTTTGTGTGCTTTTTGGCATCATTTCAGTAGCTTCACAGGGCCTATGGAATGACAGTCAAACTATCTAGCACTGGAAACCTGGCTCTCATGTACTAGTCCATCTTTAATTTTCTGTTACTCCACGTGCTGCCGCTTGCCCATTGGTTTGCTGACTGTCCCTGAATGCCAAGCCCCAACTGTGCAGTGTTTTTAGTAGTGTGGGAAGTTGTCATCAGCCCAAGCAGCTGGTCGTGACCCCAGATGAGTCCAGACCCAGCACTGGGCTTGGAAGACAGAGTCAGAACTCAGAACCAGGGGTGCTGTCCGGAAGGAAGCCATAAGACTAGCCCTAAAGACAACTTCAGGGACTTGATCGAGGAACACTGTCATCACTCAAGAAAAAATTTTTTAGCCTGTGGGACAAAATACGTGGATAAAAATAATCACGTTTCTGACAACTGCAGTTACCAAACTTTGGCTGGTGTTTTGAGTAGCACACATCTTAGATGGAGTAGGGCATAGAGAGACACACTCTCAGAGTTTTTTTGGGGGATCCAGGAGACAGTCCAGGTGATTCCAGGTACATAGTAGGTGCACAGTAAATATTGACATGATTTTCTGACTGGAGAGCAAAAAATGCCTAACGAATAACAGGCTGACTGCATGGTTTCTAATCTTCTATTACAATATTTTAGAAGGAAGTGCACGAATGTGATTTTAAATACAATATTAGAATTGGTTTTATTCAGGCTGTCTTTAGAAAGCTAAATGTTACCTTAACGACATCTGCAAAGACACTTTTTCCAACTAAGGTCACCTTCGCAGGTTCCAGGTGGACACATCTTGAGAGGCGCCACCATTCAAACACTACACAGTGCATTCATTTATTTACTCATTTCCCCAACAACTCCTTTGAGCATGAATAAACAAAGGAATTGTGGGGAGCATAAAGATGAACTGGATAGAGATCCTGCCCATTGGGATTACAGACTAGAAAGGGAGGCAAAGCATACCCTTTACAGCCTGGCAGAAAATGCTGAGCGCCCTGAGAGAAGCTCAGAGAAACACAATGCAATGGGAACTTGGAGAAGTGAGGGAGGCGGCAGCTCGGGTGGGGGAATCTGCAAGGAGAGGGGGTTGCCTCATGGCAGACCTGCAAATTGAACTGGATCTTGAGAGACAGGAAGACATTGAACATGAGGGGATGAAAAACCAGCATCACCAGGGAGGCCCAGAGTTGGGAAATGATGGTGTGTACAGGCAGTGCTAAGAAATTCAGATTGACTGGAGCACAGGTGAGTGAAAGGTAGAAATGAGAGGTAAAGGCAGAGAGGCTGCCTGGGACCGAATGGGTGGGTGGTCCTGAATGGGTGTTAGCCAGTGAAGATTACACAGGGTTTTGAACTAGAGTGTGGTGGGATAAAACTTTGATTTGTGAAGGTAATATTTTTATATTTCATAAATAATAAGGATTATTTTAAGCTAAAGATATTTAAGATTCAACAGATGCAGAAAGAGGCCTTCTTAGGAATTTTCTTATCAGACTAAAAGCAGAAACTTCAGAGAAACAAGGGCCACTGTAAATTCCTTCTTTGGGGCAGGAGTGAGACTAGGAGTAAACCTACGTCCCATAAATCCCCTCTCTGGGGGAGTTTTATGGCCCTGAAGAAGATGGAAAGACTGCTCATACCTGTATGGACAAATATTATCACAAACTTTCTTATTTCCTGTTTGTCCTCCTGAAATCCCATTTGTCTTTCCTAAAGAAGCCTATTTGTTCTTCCCATATGAGCCTTTGCTCTCCTCTCCCCCTTTTCATGCTAAGTTAGGTATTTCAGCCCCAAGTTTTAAACACGCCTTTGAGTTATTCATCACTGAGCACTTCCCTGTGTATGTACATGGCATGTATAAATAAAAGCATAAATATTAGCTTCTCTTGCTAATCTATTTTTTGTCAGTTTAATTTGCAGGCCTCCAGGCATGTAACATTAGAGGGTAGACAACAGTTATTCCTACCCTAAAGTTTATAATATATGTTGTATATATGAATTAAAATGGAGAGACTTAAGATGGAGAGACGGATCCAGGCATGATTAGGAAAGGAAGTAGAGATGGTTATGTATTTTGGAGACTACAGAAGAAGAATCATGACAATTTAGTTAAAAAAAAAATTAGAGTGAGAGAAGGGATAGTGAACTAGTCAATGATGACTGAGGTTCTGAGTCTGGATGACTGGGCCTATGATGGTGCCATGAACAGAAACAGGAAATACATGAGAGAGAAAGATCATACAAAAATAGAGCGAGTTAATGGAGCCTGTTTGAAGCCTGGCAGAGAGGTTAGAACTGGCGATGTGGATTTGAGATGAACTGCACTGAGTGATCCTCGAAGACAGGCGGTGGAAGGAAAGAACCAAGGGAAAGGGAAGGTAAGGAGGGGAGGGGGCCTTGGAAGTGATTTGGGGCAGCAGGAGGAAAAGGGGCTAGCCAAGGGAGAAATCAAAGGTGGAGGGGGTGAAAGACGGAGGTGCCAAGGTCAAAGAAAGGGTCTTCCCTGAAATAAAAACGTAGATGAGGACCTAGAACATTCCACAAGGGCCGGAAAGAAGGTAATCCTTTAAGGAAGCAGTGGCAGGAGAGAGGTCGGCAGTCGGAGCTGAATTTGGGTATTGGAGAAGTAGAGACAACACGGGTAGACCACTCCTTCAGGAAATCTTGTGAAGGGAAAGAGAACAGAATACAATGACTTAAGGGTTATCTTAGTTTCTCACCCATTTGGGGATTTTTAATGATTCCCAACATTTAAAACATCAGCTCAGTGCCAGGTACATTTTGATGATAAACCACGACAGATCTAAGTACTTGGGGGGAAGGGAGACAAGAAGGGAATTAAACTATTAAAATGCCACTTTCTTTTTTATTTCATCTTGACATATCCACCTGTTTGTCATTAAGTCACAACATTTTATCAAAATATACACACAGCACAAGATACTTGACAAGTATAGCTAGAATTCCAATTAAACAAGAATGACTGCTACAAAGTAGCATGCATGGGCCTTTCATCTTGAGTGATGCCTAAAGAGAGACTTACGAGTCATTAGATCATCAGTAATGGTACAATTACTGATTGGTTTCCTTTTCTCTCGGAAGAATTGCGCACTTCATTTCTTGTTTTAATGTGAGGATGGCAATGAGGGACGGCCACTGATGTGGAAATCAACTGAGAGCGGATGGATGGAAAGGTTTTATGGGCAGGAGTACCACAATTCTATCTTTGTTGGACTCTAAATTCAGTATCTATGTTGACACAAGAACCAGAGTAGGTGTTCTATTAAACCTTCCATCTCAGTGACGCAAGCTCTTTCCACTTCCCGTTTTCCTCTTTCTTATGAATTGCATTGCTCATCAGAATGAATGGATTTGTAAATCTCAAGTTACAAGCTATGTTTATTGTGAAGAATTCCCATAAAAACCTATTCAGGGCTCCCCCTCCCCCCACCCCCACATTTATACGTCCTCAGTTGTGCACAGAATATAGTGGGTTAGTGGTTACTTGTCTGCAGCTGAATGAAATCCAATACTACACCAGGCAGCGTGCTGTTTCAGTCTTGAGATGTTTGCTCCTCGAGTCATCAAGTAGTTCATTGATCAGCAGTTGGCGCCCAAGTGAAGAGCCATAATTTAGAGCAGAATTAAGTTCTCAAATTTTTCACAGTGCAGAGAACCATCTTTCAAGTAAATAACTATGGTTAGTAATGACCTGACTTCAAGAGTGGCTGTGAAAGATGATGGGAGAGAAACCAAGGGCACTGACATTAGTGAGGCTGAGTTGGTTTCTGCGGCAGATTCAAAATCAGTGAGGGGCTGCAAGGCCTCGTCCTTTACATTGTTGAGTGTTTCTTTTCTTCTCCAAGTGATGAAGGAGCCCAGGGGGTGTCGCTGGAACCAGTTCTCAGCAAGGAGGAGCGTTCCCTCGCATGCCTGGGGGGGCCCTTCAGGAGGACATCAGCTTCTCCATCCCTGGGTTAATGAAGGAAAAGTTCCGGAACATGTTCTGGTCCATACTGTTGATCAGTGCCCGGTCGGCGAACGACAGCCGGGGCTTCTCGTTTAAGAATTCCTTGTCGAAATTGCTGCAGTCGTATGGTGATTTCTTGATTGGAGTTTAAGCGGGAGCGGGGGGGAGGGAAGGGAAGAAAATCAGCCATTGAGTGAATGACCTTTCCTTCTGTGGTCTCAGCTATAATCTGTGCATGCCAACATCGGGGTCTGCGGATAAACTACACTGAAGTAATACTTACCGGTGATCATATGTGGTTTTTATAGAACCTCCCTAAGATCCTGAGTCATCAGTTTATCTATAGTATAATTAAATTCATATAGAGGCGTTCCATTGTATAGATTCACCTAGGATCTAATGTTTCTAGCTAATCGTTTACAGGAAGTAGACCAGCAACCTTTGAAAAAGTGGCGAGCCCAGATTTGACTTCTGTCCTTTTAGTCTACAGGGGACAGTGGGGTGTGAGTGTGTGTGTGTGTGTGGGGGGGGAGGGCAGGCGGAGGTATGGGAGCAGAGAGGAGGGTTTTTTGCAGAACCGGAATATATATTCCTATTCTTTTATCAACATCCTTCCCTGCCACGGGTTCCCCTACCCACGTTGACTTCATTATTAAACATCTCGGATTGTGTTCCGTAGACAACACCGACTGGGACGAGCTCACCTCAAGCCACCTGGTCCATTTGGTGCCCATGACAAAAAAACAAACACTTATTCATAAACACTGTTCAGCATGGCGTACAGCTCAGCTTTGTAAAATGATCAAAAGTCACTCTTATAAATGGGAGCATAATTAAGGGTCAGGCCCTTCCCACCCTCCAGGGGCCAGGCAGGCAGCCCGGGAGGAAAGCAGACTGGCTGGAACCCAATGGTCCCAGCGGCTCGGTCCTGGCGGCTCCTTACCACTTTCGGCCTGAATGGTGGGTCAATCTCTTTTCTTTCAAGCTCTTCCCAGTTGATCTCTCGAAACAAAGGGTGCTGGCGGATGTCTCCCCTGACTCCCAGCCTCCTTTCAGGTTCCCTCACAAAGAGCTGAAAAGGAGCAGGAAAGGAGTAGTTATTTCTCCCGGGACAAGCAATCAGCCTCAGATGGAGGTTGCATTTCTTACTGTAGGAGCGGAGCTGGGAGTCATATGAATTTGACTCTAAAAGATAAAGGCCTGTTTTTTTTTTGCCACTTGCTTTTCAAACCTTGTTTTTCTGTTTGCTACGATAAACTGTTGACTGAAGTCGAGTGCTGGCAACCCTCTCCCTCCGACAAGCCCTCTGAGTATTGTGGAGTCACTGATTTTGCTTCCTAACTCTTGGCCTTAGAAATGCTGTGCTATCTTTTGAGTTGTATAGACCTGGTTCAGAACCAGCTGCACTCTGTGTTATTTATAGGACCTCTGGCAAGTTAGGAGGCTCTGAGTTAATTTCTGCATCTGTATAGTGAGTGAAGTGTCTTCTTCACAGGGCTGTTCTGAGGGTTAAATGAAATAACAACAACAACAACAACAACAACACACACACTCACATATTCGCAAACACACACACACTCATACACTCACAGACACACTCATACACACACACTCTCACTCACACACACTCACTCACACACACACACTCACATACACACACACTCACACAGACACACTCACACACACATTGTTACACACACACTCACATACTCGCAAACACACACACATACACTCACACA